CGACTAGTGTACTGTCGTGATTCAAAAAATATTGGGGATATTTGTTGTTGAGTAGTGGAATGAAACTCGTTCATTAACCTTTTTGATAACAAGATCAAAAAAAATTCGAATGACTAGATTTTTACACGAACAGTCATTTGAGTAGGTAATTTTTCAAGTATTTTTTCCTATGTATCTATTCGTTAATGACACTGACGTATTTACTGCTTGCTCATAGGTTAACTGATTTCTGTAGTTAGTGTATGAATTACTGCTTGACGGGTTTGAACTCCGCTTCACATATCGAGGTTTGAGCAGCCAGGTGTTATCCTTAATCCCTATTGCTTAGTGTATGCATGTCAAACCGTCGTTGCAGGCTTCGAGTAGAACGAGGAGCGAATTCAACTCAAACGTCGACCGACAGAAAGTTTAAGCAATGACCGCTAACAGAGACGGGCCGCGAAAGCTGAAAAGATGGAAACGGCAGCGGTGATAGGTAACAGTAGACAGTTACTTAGACTAAATAAGGAAACTGGAGTGAAAAGGTCATTGGTTAATGAGACTGGTATGGAGAAGGATTGGTCTGCGATTCACTTGTATGGGGAACGACTGGGACGATGGGTGAAACACTCTGAGGAACGGTTCAACTGATCTCCAGTTACTATTTCGTTGTCCTCTATCCAGTTGGAGCCTGAATAGAACATCGAGATAGGATCTTCAACACTTGCAGAAATCGGGAAAGCTGTAGGTAACCTGAAACGAGGAAGAGCAGGAGGACTAGACGGGTTAGTTCCACAAGGATTTAAGGACGATGGTCAAGGATTTTTTAGTCAAATTAAGTGAAGTGTCAACTAACGTGTGGGAATCAGACCCGATCTTTTCTGACTGGTCTCGATCACTGATCGTCCCTGTCTTCAAGAAAGGTGAGACGTCCTCCTGTGATGACCACAGAGGAGTCAACCTGATGACTATAGTCTAAGATCCCAGGTTCTATAATCACTGGATATCTGAGTGGATCTCGGGAACAGCAAACCCGAGGAAACCTGGCGGCCTTTAGACCTGGTAGTTGTTGTGTCGATCGGATATCTACACTGCACCAGTTTCTGGAAATCAGACATTCTTATCCACACCTGATAGTCTATATGTCTTATGATAGTGTCTCTGTGTACATCTGTTGGTGTCAGTCGGTTGTCCCCAATCTGTCTATTTCTGTTGAGTTTTGTCATAGATGTTCTTATAGAAGTCATTCTCCTGTCGTCTAACTTCATTGTGATTGATTCAATCACAGGAGAACCTTAGGTAGACTTAAAATGCTCAGGTGATGTATTCGTGTTTGATTTAGATGCTAACAAGAATTAGAGTCTTCTGGGAGCTTCGAGTGGTAATTTGAGAATGATTAGGATACGTTTCATCATCAAAAGCAACAAGTTGTCACGCCTTATCAGCACGTTAAGTAAAGAGGCAAGAAAATCTAAGATGTAAAAAGAAGGAAAATCGGTCGAGAGGAGCTAAAAGTCGTAAAATGAAAGAAAGAGGAATGAGAAAATGATGAGATTAAGTATAGCGGCTAAGATGAAGATAATGTGTGTATACGTCTGCGCCACTGACATCGGTTCTTAGCAATATCCCTTAAAGTCTCCGGTCACTTACCTCTGTTGTTCTGTGGACCCCAGCCGAGTAGTCTGCATCGCTATGCATGGCTCAAACGAGCTGTCAAGGACTCCATGCTTTTATGCCATGATTTAGTCTTGCCGCTCTGAGCCTTTTTCCAGACTGAACCCACTTCGACCAACATTGTGCGACGAGGCAGTTGGTGGCTAAGGATGCGTAACACATGTTTCAGCCATTTCATTCGATGAAGGTGCATAACCGCATCAACTGAATACCTCCCCTCCGTGAAACTCTACGCCTGACTTCTACTTTACTTACGTGATCACATCACGAAGTATGGCGTATGAAACGAAGGGAAAGGCGGTTAAACACCCGAAGCTTTCCTATATCTTCTTTTTTAATGTCATATGTCACAGCCAAAGAGTAGAACAGAGCGAATTTCAGCTCAGTACTCTTGACCCTTAATAGATAACTGAATATTAACGCGGCGCCACAGGTGGCGTAAGTTGACAAAATCCAACCGAGCTTTTTGTATTCGAGCAGAGATTTTGTCAGCCATTGAATCACCAGTGCTGATTCGACTTCTTAGGTAGGTGAAGCGGTCAATGCACTCAACCATTTCACTTTCTGTTGTTAGCAGGACACCATTGAAGACCATTCCTGGAGCAACGATTTGCATTTGGATGGCGAGAAACGTATCCCAAACATTTTCAAGCTGCCACTCAAGGTGTCCAGAAGACTCTGCGTCTTACTAGCGTCTTCACCCAACAGGACTATGTCAGCTGCGTATTCTAGACCACGATGTGTTCCTCGCCATCAAATGCAAATTGTTGCTCAAGTACTGGTCTTCTAAGATCCCCTGTCTAACAGTAGACAGATGTATCCACATTTTATTTTCATCTCAACCGATACTCTGAATTCAGCATTTTCTTATTCCTCCTTCCTCTTTCCAACCACTTTCTGTTACTTTTGACCGGTTTTTCTCTTTTTCTTCAGCTTCCATCCTACTGCTTTGTTACTTGATGCGCTGATATAAGGTTTGGCAACTTGTACTGTTGTGCAGTAATGCTTGGTTCTATGTTGATATTGATCGATTGATCACCTAGCGTGTAGACATGTGTGTGCTTACTGAGGAAGCTTTTGATCTGAACGAATAACATTCACCTTTGTCTAATCTAATCTAATAACAGAAATGAGTCACTGTGGCATGATATAATTCCTTTTTAGATTTTTGATTGCATGCATCACAGTGAATATTTGATAGTACAACATAATACAATAAATAATAATCAACAACATAATATGTGATATTAAACAAGAATGTTTTACTGTGCAATATATATGATGGAATTACGCCGATAAGAATTTTAACTCTGAATTGCGGCTGCTCAGTTATAGTAGTAGTGAAAGTCCGGCACTTTTTCTGTTTCACGAGTGATTCATCATCTTTTTTGATAGTAACAGTTTTTCTCTCTCGATATTTAGAGGTCAAAGCGTTTGTACCCAGCGCAATTAAAACAGTGAGCTGTTTTCTTTCAGAAATTCAAGCTTTCTTCACTTCGATAATAGTGACAGGAAAAATTGTATTGCGTATTCTTAAGCAATAGTAAAATTTCAGTTACACTGTAACTCCCCAAACTGTTTATTAGCATATATCATAGAAAGCCCAGATTTTATATGTACTCGTAGTAGCAATTGAAGTTTATACACTATCTAGCTGTTACCATAGCTTCCAGAATGTCATTTTATGTTTAGCTGCTTTATTCGGATTCATTTTTTGTAAGTACATTAATGCATAACATCCCATACTGTATTGGTACGCTAAATTGCACACTTCTAAAAGAAATAATCCTTTCATTTAATCGCTCTGTATTTCTTTGAGTCATTACATATTTTTGCCATGGTTTGATGTTTTGTGATGGGTTATTTAATCAAACACCTGTACATAACTGACATGCTTAAAATGTAATGCATCCGTAGTCAGGTTGGCGTTTTCTCCTTTAAAAATTTTTTATCTAGTTGAAAAGGCTACTGTATCTTCACATATTTTCAAATTGCATTATTTCTTAAACTAATTTACAACGGTTATCATGTTTGTTGTTACTATCGTAAAAACTTAGCATATCTTCAATAGTTTTCGTTACACTTAGGTGAAATTTATTTGGGAATGTGTTACTATCCTCCGCAATTTAATGGAAGTGATTTATATGACTTGGCCGATTTTGAAATCCGTCCTAGCAGCTGCTAAAGGAGCCAATCAGGTTTCGGTATTTGCATAAAATATTAAAGTGTCATTGTTTACTTCACTTGTTGTTAGTGTGGAACTTAGATTCAATCTTTACATTATCCAACTGTCAAGCTGAATTTGAAGTAGCAGATTTCTGACAACTTCAGAGGCCTCGCTTGGAACTACTGAATTGACCAATCCAGTTATTGCGTTCAGGCTAGAAGGGTATTTTTTCATGAAATATAGAAGCCCAGTTGGTTATCTCAGTAGTTGCTAGGATGGCTTATAAAATCATTCAGTTAAATCGCGTACTTCTTTATGCTTTGTTTGTTTGTCACTTAAAGGAACTAGTATTTTACGGCAATGATGATTAGTAATCTTGAGAATAGAATTGTTTCATGTTTGCATTTTCCCCATAATTTAAAGAAATAGAAACAGCTTGGCCTATGAATTCTTATATTATTACTACATTTTCATGTATACTTATGTCTTTCCTACGGATTATATCCCGTTCCTCATGTAGTTGGGAAAAAAGTCTTATTCCTTCGGTTTTTAGTTTAGTGTGAACATACACTTCTTTTTTCTATCAGTTTTAGACACACTGAATGCTGATTGTTAACCGGTCATATTTTTTACTAGTATTGTTGCTTGAAAATTGTTTCTTGTTTTAGTCGCTTCATTTGATTTTGTAATAATCACTAAAAAGTGCTTGATGAGTTGAATCCTTTTTCCAAGTTTGAATCTGTTGGTGAATGGCATGGAAATTAGCCTTAAAAGGGTTCCAAACATCTGCAATCTTCGTTTTATTATCGTCTTATGCATACCAAACTTTAGGGATCTGATTATGTTAATTTATCTACTATTTGATGTCATGGTGTCGAAGTGAACAGTATGATTAATGCGAATTTATAACTGTTCCACATTTCAACAGACGATGGCCTGACACAAGTGGCCTATCAGTCAGTGTTTGTCCACACATACGTCGACCGGCTTATTAACCTTACTGTAATTGTGAGCCTAATGTCAGTATTGCTCACCTGGTGCTTCTGTCACAAGTCATCATTGTCTCAAAGTCAGATATAACCAAATACGCGTAAAATTCGCATACATTTCACTCTTTTGGTTAACCGTTTTCAAAATATTTGAGCTAGTTTCTTCCTCTTTCTTTCCTTGATGTTTCTAGGGGGCATGCTATAAGAAACAAGATCCCAGATCTGAAATTTTGGCAGCTCGCGCATATAAGCAAGCTCATCAATCAGTGTTTCAGAGCATTGAACCTATAGTAAGCTTCCTTTCTCTTATTCGCTTGTTAGTTGCCTGTAGAGTTTTTTTCCTGCTGAGAAAGTTCAGTCGATTTTATTTAATCCTATGAATAACAATGACAATAATAATTATTTTACTTACAATAATTGAACGAAAGACACCGTGAAATTTGTAGGCTAGAAAATTGACACAGAAGTGCCAGCTATTAATCTTTGAATTCTTTGAATAGGTCATGACTACAGAATGTATACTCAATCGGTTTAAACTGAAACATTTACAAATAGAGCAGAGGAGAATCAAAAGAGAGTAGAAATGAGTCTGCATAAGGTGTTGGAATGATCGCGATTGGATTGATAAAATGTTGAGCCTAAAAACTAGCTTCCACTGACTTCTTGGGTTATTGTCGCAGTTTATTACAGGCTCATAACCTCATAATTAATGTACGTTAACTAAAATTTTGAACCGTAGCCTATTTATTTCTCACTTGATATTTTGATGGCAGATAGCTTCATCTTTCTATACACCGGTGATCAAATATGTTCAAGATTTTTGTATGATCCATCTTAAAGGTCAAATCTTAAATGAATACAGTGCAGATCTTAGTCTCCCATTGTGATAAGTATGTAGACTTTCTTTCTGTATCACAAATGAGATTTATCAAAATTATGACTTCAGTAAGGCAGTACTGATGACGTTTGTAAAAATTCAATTCCTATACATAAAGCCCTGTGTTGCTAAAGAGAAATGAAAGCGTTGACATATGTATCAAACTTGATATATTTTGACAAAGTAGAAATTTTTATTTTGAATATTTGCATAAATTTCTGCAGTACATTGTATATCATACAGTTTAAACCTATCATTTGACTGCGATAAGTTGATGGAAGATAACCGCACCTAATAATGGTCTGCAGTATTTAGAACATACACCGTCAACCGTCATTGCTAGTTACGTTCTTTAGAAGTAGTGTATTAGTAAAAGTAGTTCTTGAGCACAGCTTTCAAGAAATCCTCTAATATGACTATGAGCAATAATTTATGCTCGAAACAACCTCAAATAAATGAAGTAGTAATCACCCAAGTGGGACAGTTGAACCGAGTATACTGAGAAATTAATGTTACAGTAACATGTATTATTTCACTCCACAAATTGAAGTGTCATTTACCTGTTTATTATCTTATATATATTTATTCGCCCTATTCCCGCACAAGTTAGACTTGGTTCCGTTTTATATCTACGTCGAATTCATGTTTGAGATAACTTTATTTCTTTGTTCAAACACAGGGTGCTAACTATAAACGACCAGACTTTGAAGCTGAAATTCGCGCTGCACGATCTACTGGTATCAGTGTACCTAAATCGGACACATTACCATTGACAACTACAAAAGTAATGCGTGTTATTTATAACTTGGCACTAGATTATATATATATATATATATATATATATATATATCTTTCGGAAAATATACAATTTTAAGCTATGAATCGTGAATTAGCTTCTCCTTCGTACATTATCCAAACTGTTCGCTTTTGCTATGATGTTTTCGTTGGGTGCTTTCGCAATAACCCAACAATCCATACTGCCCGCAACAATTATTCCTTGAGGTCCTGTCATATCAGGAAAGACAAAAAGCAATTACGTTATACTGTTAATAGCTTTGTTATGCGAACGGATAGACAGAGGAAATCAACATAGGACCAGCTATTGCTGCGTAACGAAGCAAGTTAGAACTCTTCGTATCGGAACATCAAGTGGGAATCCATGAAAGTGAGTCGCATCAAACCAAAAGGGTTGACTTCTGAATAAACATCACCTTAAATAAAGAAGATCATTTTAGCATTTTTTAATGTAAACCATCTATGGAACCGGCAACATATACGACCACATGTACTAAGCAGAAGTTCATCGCGTTCTTTTGTATGGCTGTGAAACACCACTCCTTAGACTAACTACTTAACATTTGCAATTTCCCTTGTCGTAGGTACTTTCGTTGCTTTACTAGTGTGTGGGATGGAATCGCGTAAACAATGTTGGGGCTAAGCGCAAATTCCTAAGCAAAGAAAGCTAGTCAATTGATAAGGTTAAGAATCCTCACCAATTGGGGTGGTTTGGCCATGTGCTGCACATGTCAACTCACCACGTTTGATGTTTGATGTTAGCAGAAGTGGGATGGGTTTTGAAGGTGGTGGTTGTGTGGCACCAGCCAGTGAAGTCTTCGACTGTTGGTCGGGGCCATATAAAAAGATGTGGCCTGTCTGGCTGGGATTGTTAAATATATAAGGACCAGTGGGTACAGACTCTAGGTGTTATGGCTCGAAATCGATCATGATGGAGTTGATGCATGCACGTCTTATCATTTTCAAAGTCGTTACTAACTTTCATTTGCTTTTATGCACTTTTTTCTGCTTGAATTTCATTTATTTTATATTCTACTATGAAGTGTGACATCCCAAAGTAACGATATTTTATGTTAAGTTCTAGGTTAATCCATATGTCACACTTCTGAATGTAACGTTCATACCTGTGTCCGAAAGTGAACTATATTTTTTGATTGATATGTAGACAGCATAATCATCAATACACACTGTATTAGTTTACTTAATTTTGAGCTGCTAGTTCAGGAATTTGTTTGGAATTTTCGGAAATCGTAACAAGTGATTTGTTCATCACAAATGTTCTTTCTTCTTGTTTTTATCTGCTTGCTGTTTTAAACGCTTAATTTTGCTGTGAATGATTTGACTAGTTGATTTTAGTGGTTAGTTCATTTAAAGTATACGTGACGATCGTGAAACTTTGATCTGCGCATATCCTCTATTTCATATCTGTATTTGTTTTCTTAATCATCTCTTTATTTTCTTGCCCTAAATCCCTATTTGTATTGTGTAATCTCCTTTCGTTTTTCCTTTTATTTTAAACCTTAAATGGAAATAATTCTGATACGTCCTACCCTCTTTTGTATGCCTGCTAACGACAAACTATTACGGAACTGTCTTGTTGGTTTAAGTTCTTATACTGTACAGTTTTTAATCCTGCTCCACATTCACGAACCACGTAATTTCTGCACCCTTCACAACCTTGTGTACGACCACAATGAACAATAATAATGCAACCCAGTAGTCAAAGGGAAGCTTTCATACTAGACTGTGAGTTAACTGTTGTATGAATCCTATAGATTCTAACTAACTCTTAACCTGTGTGTATTTGGGAGTGTTCAAGGTCGTAACTCATTCAATTGTAGTCAGCCACATTAGTTAATGAGCCATAATTTCATCGTTCACGAACTATTCAGTGCGAATCTAAATTTTGTCGCTTATGGAAGATATTTTTAGGGATAAAGTTCAGTCAGTCATTGTCAAGAAGTTAGCAAACTTCTAGTTGCTGTGAATACGAATACCTGCTCATCTTATACTTTTACTCCAACTAATTTATAATTTTGTTTCTTTTAGGCTGTAAACGCTAATGGTTCATCAAATCAAAGTTCTGTCGGTGTATCACGGTCATCACAGAACAACCTCAACCAGCCGTCGTTACAGCAACAAAAGTGCTTACCATCATCTCCTCTTTCATTATCTCCAGTTGCACATATTTCAAATAATCAGTCACATTTTGTCAGTGCTAAACACATGAACAACAATAGCAACAATCATAGCCATAATCGGAGCTCAGTTTCACGTCAAAATTCAGTGGAGACGCTTCTGTCACCATGTTTACCGTCGGCGCCAGGTAGTGGAGTGCACCATAATGCTAAGAATAATCAAGGTCTAAAAGCGGTGTGTTTGTATGACTATATGGCTAGTGAGTTCATTATTTGTTCCCTACTTTCTCTATACACATTCCGATAAATTTCTGTGGAGTCAACTTGTATACTCTTGTATCTAGTTTTCTGCAAGATATGCAGGTGTTTAATATGTTGTATATCTCGAACATTGTTAACATTCTCTGATCCAATACAATGCATTTAGGTTGGTCAAGATAAAACAACAGTATTACAGTTCGAAATGTCATATCCGAAAGCAGTGCAGGCAGTAAATTAATATGCGAAACAAAATAATAAAATCAACTAGAAGGATGAACTTGAGCAATGAAAATCAAAACAATTACCGGATAATTAGTCGATGTAATTGTATTTATCCTGAAATAAGCTAAATACGATTTTTAGTAATACGATGTACAAGAAATTTCGCACAATGAAAAGCAACAAAGTAGAAATCGTAGTAAGGAGTAGAAACTAGAAATAAAGGAGGATAACACTTATTAACCACTGAAATGAATTTGTAATGCAACATCAAGTACACCATGACAATGAATCATTATGTTCCAAAGGAGGTTGAAGCATGTAAGCATGCATCAGGCTTTAAATTACTGATTGCTAGTGTTCAAATTATGCAGAGCGACACGATACCTGAAGTTAGAAATCTGTTGAAGCATGGAAGTTCCTTTCCATTTCCTATAAGATGTATTGCATGATACTATAATACATTTTACTGAAGTGTTCTACTGAATTAGCTGACCGCCTTATTAGTGTTATGGAAATATCAGTGTTAGTTAAAAAGGAGCATTTGATTACATTGTCGACTACCTGAAACTTTAACCTTAAGTATGGAGGCTAAGTCTACATGTTCTTGTAAATATAACAAACGCCTAGAAAACTAAATTGTACATTCCAATTATAAATCACTACGTCACTGAAAATGGCACTTTTTCCTATATAGATAAACAAAAAATGTTATTATTTCTGTTCTTTTAACCAGTGGAAAATCTATGAATGCATTGACGTTTTTTTCCTTCAATGTGATGCATCGTTTTACCTTGTGAAATACTGAGCTTTAATAGCGCTAGTTGAGGAAAATGAGTTTATCAAAATTTCTCTGATCAGCCTATAACTGTGATTTATAAGGAGATATATTTTCCCTTCATATTTAATTGTTTTCATAGATGAAGAAGATGAAATATCCTTTCACGTGGGCGATGAAATAGTTCGAATTGAACAAATCGATGAAGGTTGGTGGCTTGGTCAAAATGCTGAGGGACAATTCGGACTATTTCCTGCAAATTATGTAGGATTATTAGCGTAAGATAAAATGGATAAAAAGAGCGAAACCATTTACAAAATTAACATGTGGATACACTCACTGCCTTTTTTCTCCTGCATGCATATGTGTGCTTTATTCAGCAAGAAACACAACTGATCTCATTCTTTTCATTTCAACAGAAGTAATTCACTGGTATAAAGGCAATGTCATGACTAATTTTTCCATTTCTTTCCCAGTTGTATAACCTTAAACACATCAGTGGAGATTTCCATACAACATTGATTAGTCTGATGTCTTTTCGCTTTTTTTGCCTTCTATGGTTTCAACTTATTCAGTAATTAATTTTTACTAGTGTGTTGTTCAATATCTTTGATCAGTCGTTCTGCAGTGAACTTTATTTATGCATATTTCAAATACGAAGAAATTTACATTACAAAGTTTTCTTCTGATCAACTGATAAGCATGAGAATGGTGATATGTTGTTAGCTTTGACTTACTTTTTTAATCGGAATGTTTTATAACTTGTACACAGTTTTTATCTACTATGCATCAATAACTTTCTCACTTTTTTCCTACTAGGCAATTTTTTGTTTTTATCAGAATCTGATATTTATTGGTAATACCGCATAGCAATTTTTTATCACTGTTATTACCACTGCTATCATTCATTATCGATATCTGATGATTGGATTAATTAAGACGTGGTGCTTTTGTTTTTTTTCTCGAAATAACCGTTGCATATAAAAGAAATTCTCATCGTCAACCGATTAAATTTGGAGAGACATTTCCGTTTGCAGTAATTACATTGTAAGAGTTAAAATAGACTGTCACCCAGGTAGTAGTTTGCACAGTAGTCATTGATCACAACGATGAATATTTCTACCAAATGATCATTTGTCAGGAATGATTTGTTTATTGTAATTAGGGCCTCACAGAGAAACCGTAATAATAGAAGAATATACATTAGTAGCTATCGCACCTCAGTGGCCTAGTGCATCACGCTTTGGCATTCCAAGCGATGGATACGAGGTTCGAGTCTCAGTGGGGACATCATGCACCGGGCATCAGGTACGTCCAACTGACGAGTCCCAGGTAGGGCCAAATGCGCATCCTGGTTGTTGCTGCTGGCCACAACAAAGTCAAATTAAACGTGGAATATTCAGACAACATCGAGGAACGCGAATACTAACAAGGTCGATCGATTCAATCCAGTGTAACAGTGGAGAACTATAAGTATCAACAAATAATAATTAGTGATGATAGAAATGGATAGTACCTCGAGAAGCCCAGGAGTTCATCTTTGCATAGGTAGGCTACGTTGTGACCCTAGCGGAGAAAGTGGCTTTCCGAATTTGTGATGAACGTAGAGTGTTCTTGTTGTTATCAAAAGTGATGCTTGAAAAGTCGATGACAAACTTGTCTAAGTTTTTTGGTATTGTATTTTATTTTATTGAGGGTATTTTGCTTATTTGATTTAGATTCGTGTTATTTTTTACAGTTTTTCCTTTTGCTACTACATGCGTATAATTATTATTGCTGTGGGAATTAGTTGTTTTGAAGCTTTAAAGTATATCATTGTGGTACATCAGCTGAGATTAGTGTGATTAAGGATCTTGGAAGGCCCACCAACGTCATCTTAGCTGCAGTTGGTTATTGGCAATGAATATCTACATTCGAGAGGTTTGATTTTAAGCATTGCTTTATTTTGTCAATATATAATATTATCTGTTCCTTGGTGGATAGGTTTTGATAAGCATTTAGGATATATTTCATCATTGGACCATTACTTTGTTGACTTTCATTTTAGTTCTTCGGTCAGATGTATATGCTCATTTATTCAGTATTCTAATGCATCATTTCATCAGTCTAGTAATAATGTCGATTATTTGGTGCAACATAAAACATGACACAACTACGTAGCAGTTCAAGTTGCCACATATCATATCAGCAGAAATGAAAAGAAGGAGACGAAAATATTCTTATCAAATATCGTAGACAGTCGTATACCAAGCATGGAGATGAAGGAAATAAATACAGATGATAGCGTACGATTTGGACGAAGTTAAGGGACTACTATGATCACTTGTGACGTTATTATAAACTATCCAACTTCCAGTCTTCACGCCGACTGCAAAGCTATGTTCCACTACATGGTTCACACAAATAATCGGAGACTTTCTTGCATCCTTTATTGATATTTTTTTTCTTACTCAAGCAAATAGTGCGCTTCAGTAAATAATACTTCTACATGACACATTAGTTAGTCGTCGTGCTTGATGAAGAGTTGTAACTTGATCTCTTCCTCCTAATACTCTTCATTTAGCGTCATATTCTGTTCCCATGATTTCACGGGTGCTGCTGTGAAGATTTATTGTATCCTTTACCTTCAATAACAATTTCCCACAATCAAAGTAAGGAATTTCTCATTGTACCTTAATAGGAATTCAAACATCTCACGGATGCCATTATTGACTTAATTTATTGGCAGAAAATGAAAGAAGAACAAGTATTTCAGTGAAGAGTCTTTTTTTGGCAGTTTCATTTTCAAGGCTATACAGTCGCAAATCTAAACATTTTTACTGTGCTAGGATTCGATAGTTAAAAGCTGGTTTGTCAAGCATGGCAACAAAAATAGTGTCAGTATATGATCTGTCACTACAATCAAAAAAACAATTTCAACGACTAGTGAATACTAATCAAAAAGATGGCTGGAATTTTATAGAGAATAAAAAGTTTGGATAAGAAGTTTCGTGTCATGACAGCATGTTTGGAAACCGAATTATGACCAGAAAGAGCATAAGAACAAGGTCGAATAGCAAATTATTTCTGAAGGGAGCATTGTCAAAAAAGAAAGGTGATTTCAAAGATTGAAAACTAAGACCATAAAAGGAGAAGGGGTTGAACTATCTTCTTTTGCGTACAAAGTTCAGGTTTCTTAATATAGATTTCAAGAGCTTGCGCGATGCAGAGAATACGTAAACATACAGCCTTCGGAAGGTTTTTTCATTTTATAAATGGTTTTGAACCAGGGTGTACTTGAGATAGGGTAACTGGTGTTCACAATATGTTTAACTACAGCGCTTCTTATCGATCCATTGTTGCCTCATGGAGTTACGCGCGATAGTGCTCCTGAACCCATTTCGGATAACAGTTGCATTGAATGACTTACATACCTGGCTGCATAAGAAAAGGTAAATTGGCGTGAGCACATAGAAGTGGTCAGATGCGAAAGTTTGTCCTTTGAGTTGTTGGGTGGCAAGAAAATAACGGTCTCAGCGTTGATGTAAATGATGTTTTCCTTAGATAATTTGATATTCTCCTCTTTAGATTGTCAGTAACAGAATCACCTTTAAAATCTAGTCTCACATAAAGTGTCTTTCTTGGTGCAGTGGTAGGGTTCTCTCTGCAATGTTAAGGCTTGATGTTTTTGTCTATGAAGCGTAGTAGGAATCAACTTTTAAACAGGAAGTTCCTTAGTACAGAAGTTACTTCTAACACGTCGGGACTGCAGATTCGTCTAATCCGAATGGTGAGAGATATGATCAAGTTCCGTTTGTGACTCATAGGCACCCAGCTATGAAAGCTCGTCATCTGACCATTAATGTTTGTTTTCCGTGAATTAATCTTAACGTTCTATCACCTGTTCTTGTCAGCTACACATCAAGAAAGAGGATTTTTGATCCATTTTCGACCTCAAGGATAAACCTGAATGCTTAATAGCAGTTATCGAATATTTGTAGGATGTTCCTCAAATCAAATTGATTATCACATAACAATAGTATCGTCCACGTACCTTTTTGTACCTTTGAAAACGTTCAGTCGTTGATTTCGAGAGTCCGTCCACCCAAGTGATCATAAATGAATCTGCTAGTACAGGACCTAGTAACAGTCCCATGGCTATTCCCTATTTTTGTCTATAAATTACGTCGTGAAATGTGCATCTGAGTAACTGTTGCCAAAGGCGAGAGGTCGGTATCTCAGCAGTCATGTTGTTATCTTCTGTATAAAAAGAAGGTAGTTTTAGGAAGTGGAATATTAGTGAAAAGTTACATCAAGTGATGTCACATAGTTATAGGATGCGTCCACGTCTCCTTATGGAATCAACAAATTCAAAGAATCACGTAGATGGTGAATAGCGACTCATCTTCTTCCAGGCTCTACGATTTTGATTGACATTTTCCAACTGGATGACAAGGAAATTCAGGTATGTCTGGAATCGGACTAAGGAATGCACGAGCTTTTTGAATTTTCGTAATCCGTGAAGTCAGACCTGTTGGCTTGATGCGTTCGTAGAGGTCATTGGTTATTAACCGATCGTTTTTCAACCTTTTCACAACATCAGTTAGTTGTTGTTTAATTTCTTCCGTCTTATTTTTCTGGCGTTATTCATTCAAGATGTTGAGAAAACATAAAAAAAATAACTTCAAGGTATCACGATCGATTAGTGTCTATGTAAAATAGTGTCAGTAAAATATTAGTGTGATTAAGAACCGGTTTCATGGTTACTGCAGGAGACCTACAATACTCATTCTCATTTTTTGGTGTACAACAAACTGGGCATCATTGGTGATTCCTGTCAAAAAATAATTCCAATTAATACTTGTTCCAGAATTCTATGGTCATCAGGGATTCTTTCTTTAACGCCTGCCGGTCAAAAAGTCATATCTGGGTAAGTGGTCGAGTTTCCGGTCTATTTAGAGGTGCTTTGCTGTTTTCTGTCAAGTGCTCCACATTACTTATGTCTTTTATACTCTCAAAATTGTATTTATTCTAAACTTCTAAAGCAAAAGTTATGAGCAAATAGATACATTTGCTGTCTATCTGCTTGAAATTCTTTAGTCGCTCGATAGTTAACAATGGTCTTTACCAGTTTGTATACCAAAGTGAATGGTATCCCTGAAAAATAGTCATATATTTCTAGTTTTATCGCTTCTCACAAAATCACTTTCTTGTAGTCAAATATAAGTACTCCTAACTCTTCAGATCAAATTACCATGTTCTGCTTAGAAAGGATTTCAGCTTGATGTGTAGAATGTCCATAAGAAGAGTCGTAGTATGTTTGGCATACGTTTTCAGCATTTCTGTTTCAATGTTTAGCTGCAGTGTAAGCTGTTCAATCTACATGCTATGTGAATAAAAGTTGTAAAGTAGGTATGCGCTCAGACTAGCTTCACTTACCATTGGTCATGGCATCCGTTCTGATCGGCGATGTGAGCTGGACATTCAGTCTGAAATGTTCAGTTACCTACAAGCTTGTTATTGAAAAAGGAATACTGACTATATATATATGAAACTAAAAGAGATAGTTTTTTGTGGAAATAAAATGAAAACGTGTAAAGTTGCTGTGAGGAGAAGTCCTACCTAAGCTCTGTTAGGAAAACATGCTACATCTGAAAGGTGGAAAGTATTGATCAGAAGTGCTAGGTCAGCTGAACTAAAGTTTTCGTAAACTATAAGTGTATAAGTGGTTTCTAACTAGTCATTTTTCTGAATGATATATTTTGTCATCTTGTGAAACTTTTATGTCATAGATCACACCTTTTGATTTTGGTTAGGTGGTGATTACCAATAGAAACGCTTTTGACCTTCAGGTTTGGAAGTTGAAAACTACCGAGCTATGAGAAATGTCAACGTGGACGCTGCCGTTTGTAAATCATTTCCAAACTGATCATCTTACGTTTCATGAGAAAGAGAAGAGATGATACTGAGAGAATTCAAATTTTAAACCATGAAAATCCATTGCTGACAAACTCCTAATAGAGAGAGCGATGTATACATTGTGCTATTCAATAACTACTAAATAAACACAACCGTTGACTCTTTTCCAATGATTTCAACAAATTTGTTGTAAAGTTAAGTAAATCAACAAATGTTACAGTATACATATCTTCTTTTCCTCGTCATACTACCATTTTTAGCTTTTTTACTATTAGGGGACAAATGAATATTCTTTCATCAAATCCTTTATCATTCAGCATCTACTTGAAGTTAGATACTTATTCATGACATAAACAACAGAATACTATTGTTCTGACCTATAGTTCTTAGAATAAAATGACAA